CACGTGGAACATGAAACTCATCACTCTCTCCCTCTCACTCACTCTGGTTTTCTCTCTTCTTCCTAAAACTTGCAACAAATAGAAAACCCCCCAATTTGACAAAGAAAACCCTAGATGTAGAAAGTTTGAGAAGTAGAAAACTGAAAAATCATATAATTGTAATTAAGTTACTAATGAGTGGGCAACCTTCTTAGCAATTAATTTTCTCATTCCAGCATCTGCAGAGAGTAGAGAAGAAAATGGAGTTCGCATAATAGAGAAGAAAAAAAGGGCAAAAGACTGTCAATTTGTAAAATAAGTGAGGGTATTATGGGAAAGTAAAAAATTCATTAAAACCACCGATTAATTTTTTTTTAAAGCAACTTTTAAAAGCTGGGTAGAGACGGCTTTGAAAAAACAGCGGTCCTTGACTGCAATTTAAAAAAAAAAAACAGCATTCCTGATGTTTACCAAACACCCAACCCATGACAAATTTTTATTAAAGTTGCTTTTAAAAAAAAATAAGCATTGCCAAACACTACCTAAGCAAACTACTATAGCTAGATTTCCTATGGAATCTGAGTTCATAGCATTAGATAAAGCTGGTAAGGAAGCTGAATGGCTATGTAATTTCTTAGAAGATATTCCATGTTGGCCAAAACCTATGCCTGCTATATGTATACATTGTGATAGTCAATGTACAATTGCAAGGCACAAAATAATATGTACAACGGCAAGTTTCAACTACGTCGAAGACACAACACCGTTAAGCAACTGCTCTCTAGTAGTATAATTACCATTGACTACATGAAGTCAACAGATAATTTGGTAGATCCGTTTACTAAAGGTTTGACTGGAGATCAAGTTTATAGATCATCGAGGGGAATGGGGTTAAAGCCCATGTCAAATGAGTCATCATAGTGGAAATCCAACCTAGTTGATTGGAGATCCCAAGATCTAGGTTCAAAAGAGACAACTAAATTATGATAACTCGAAAATAGCACTGCAGAGATATACTCTCCTTCCCATGTCCTATGATGATACAGTGTTGCATGTAATGTATTTAGGTTAAGTTATGCTTTTAATGATTCCTATACCTTGATTATCCGAGTAAGATATGATAGGATATTACCAATAGGAAGTCACCTATACGAGTGTGAAATGTGGCCGTTTCCATGAGAATTTTCAGGGCTAAATTCTCTAAAGCACTCATGAATACCAGGAGTTGCTCAAGGCCAAAACAAGCACAATTGATCAAACCATATATGTCTAGAAGGGTACTGTGTGAGTATTATTGTCTGGGTTTAAACGAACGGCTGAACAATTCAAGACATCATGTTCACTGATTAGCCAAGTGAATTCGATAATACTTCACTACGGAAGGTTTAAGGCCAAAAGCTACCTACCCAGATGCAGTATTCTTCTAATATGAACTTTCTCTAGTGTCTGCATTATCATTTTCATATTGTCGAACTAATTTCCATTCATGTGGGGGATTGCATGAAATTTAATATTAAATTTCTATTTGAATGGAAATTAATAAAGTCCATTGGGTTATTATAATGGCCCAACTGTTTATAAGTTTGTGTAGGAGCCCAAGTAGAGCAACGAATGTTCTTCAAATGAGGAATGGCAACTCTTCATATATGTCTGGAACCCTATCTGAGACCTAGGCATGCATTGATTACCCTTTTCAGATTGGGATACCTTTTTGGAAAGGGTATTTCATCATCTATAAATAGAACAATCCTCCTGTAGTCATTGGATGAAATAAATTCACAACATACAGACTTCCATATATATAGAGCATTAGAGTTTTTCATTCTTTCAAAGAGAGGTTCCTGCATAATTTGGTTCAAAGTTCTTTGTGAATTGCAGTGCTTTTTTTCACAAGGAGGGGAGTCGTTGTATCTGTGGGAGCAAATTTCCTCCCACGGGAATATTCGGTTGAAAGATTCCTCCGTCTTCTCCGCCTCTCTTTCTCCCTGCAAAACGAATAGCAATAAGAGGACCACACCCGGGGGGTGTTGGCCAAAGGCCCTCCGATGCCTAAATTAGTTCAAGAGTTTTGTAAAGAAAACACTAGCTAACTAGGGTACGGAGTTATATGTGGTTTTGGGATGAACCGAGCGGTCGGAGCCTTATGTAAAAGAGGGAGAGAAAGGAGGTGGCTAGGGTTTCTGAGAGATAATTTGTGCAGAGTTTCAGTAGGAGTTTAGACGTACCTCAACCCTTGTGTGTGTCCATCCTTTTATAGAGGTCTCGGGGGCTAGGGTTTCAGAGGAATAATTAGGGGTGAACACGGGTCGGGTCGGGTCGGGTTTAGGCCCAAACCGGTCACCGAACCGGGTCATGTCGGCAGGCCCATTGGTCAAACCGCACACCTCATTTTGAGGCCCAATTTCGAATGAATTTGAAACCCGAATAAGTCGGGTTGGGTCGGGTCGGTGGAGGTTTCTGCCGAGGCCCAAAAAGACCAACAACTGAAGGTGGTTTTTAAATAAAAAAAATTCCGTGCCAATTTTTTTTTGGTCAGATTTTCAGGCCCATTCAAGTTTAGGACTCCTGTATATTTTCCAGATTCTGTACTTCTGCATAGTTTTAGCACATATCATTCTAATACAAATAAAAACCTGAAAATCATCATCCATCACATGTCCAAATCCACAGAAATACAAATATATATTACAGACCAAGCAAATTGTGAGAGTAATCTCAATCACAATTTGCATACTTGCAAAGTTAAAAACCAAAGAAACATTTTTTGACTTTTTCCAAAGCTTGGTAGAAATCTAACTCATCCATTGTGGGTTCTTTGTAGTAGCTAAACTCATCCATTGCGGGTTCTTTGTAGTGCAACACTTCTGAACAACTCCTCAGAAACTAAATCAGGCAAGAACTAAGAGGAGACAGAAATTCATGACAACCATGGTGAATCAAAAAGTAAATACGTAAAATTTACTCTTAAATGGATTATTGCAAACCTTATCACCCAGTATAAGAACAAAAAAAAATAGAAAAATGGGGAATAAAAATGGGAAGAGACCTGAGACGAGATCTACCCCAAGGCTGCTCTTAAGCCCTTCTGTATCTGTTCAAAATCTAACGAAACCTATATTATGCTCTATCATCGAAACCAGTACACATACATGAGCCTGGCAATTTTCAAAGTCAAATAAGCATAAAACATCAAATAAAAGACAAATATGCAGAAACCTAAAAATCAAGAAAGACCCATGATTTTATGAAGAGCATACTCAGAATGTCAAACAACCAGGTTTTGCAAATATGGGAGAGAGCGAGAGAGCGGCTTTTCTACTCAGAAATAAACACAGCAAGCCAATCCTTTTTCCTTAGCCTTCAAATCAATTCTGTCCAGACAAAATATATATACAAGTCAGACAAAATAAATAGAATTAACAGAAATCAACCAAAATCCCTAAATTTTGAATTAGGGTTTCAACATTTTAATACCTCAAACCAACAAAAATCGAGCGAGGGAGACGAGAGTGAGAGCGGGTGAGAGACAGAGTGAGTGACTGAGAGAGATCAGGTGAGAAATCTGGAAAAACAAAAGAGGCAGAGGCGAGAGAGAGTGGGTGACACAGAGAGAGCCACGAAGAAGAAGAGAGGCGAGCGTGGAAGAAGAAGTCGACGATTTGGTTTGGGGAGAGAAGGTTGAGTGAGAGGTAGATCTGGTGTTAGGGTTTGGCGACTCGAAGAAGAAGAGAGACTCGAAGAAAAGAAGAGAGGCAGAGCAGAGAGCGAAGTGAAATTTTTTTATGAGCGGCTGAAATGTTAGGGTTTCGCGAGCAATCAGGTGTGGCAAGGCTTACGCTTGGGATAAAATGGACGAATCAGCCGCTGCCACGTGTATTATTTTTTTTAAAATAATATAATTTAAAAAGTTCGGTCCGGTCCGGTTTTCGCCGGTTTGGAGAAAATTAAACCGGTTCAGACCGGTTCCTGGCCGGTTCGGTCGGGTTTTTTTACCGGTTCTTGCATTTTAAACTATAAAAACCGAACCAAACCACTTAAAGCGGTCCGGTTCGG